CGCCGGAGCCCAGCAGGCAAGGCTGCGGTGGCTGGGAGCGGCCACTGCACTCCAGTCTGAGTGACAGAGTGAGACTCCAACTTAAAAAAAAAAATTGCCTTGATAGGTGGACTAGGCACTGGCATCAGTGCATAGCTTCCCAAGGAGTGCTTCAAAGGTGACTCTAGAGATATGCAGCAATGAGGCATGTGACAATTTTTCTGTGTTGAGTTTGTGAACTTAATTGTCGGATCTCGTATGCCTTAGAATACAGCTGTAAAGTATACAGTTAAATGCTCTTACTATGCCTTTTCTAAAAATAGGCTTGTTAAGGAAAGTACCACTTTCTGCAGTTTTCTATGTAATATAATACCTCAAAGCAAAGGGTGGAAAAAATATTCAAGTGCTTCAATACCTTTAACTGTCTCAAACTCTGCTTGTTTGTTTATTTGCTTTGCTTACCTTTATCCTTAAAGGAAGTCCTTTACCTTCCTCTGCCTTGAAAAGGGCCTTTAACCTTTTCATAGCTTCTTGTCCCTTTCATTTCCACCTTATAATCCAACAAGGGAGGACAGATTGCTACCCATCGGCTTTCTTTTCTGCCCATTTGTGTATCCTCTTCTATGAACTGAAATATAGCACAGTGGCTAAGATACCAGACTGCAGTCCAACAGACTCAGTTCACGTCCTGCCTTCTCCATTTGCTAACTGGTTTGTTAAAGTCCTTTGTGCTTCAGGTTTTTCATCTGTAAAATGGGGGCGATGATACCAATGTACTCAGTATTCCCTGAAAAGAGTTGTTGGGAAAATTGAGATCATTCTTATAAAGTGCCAGCCCATTGTCCGGCAGATAGCAAATAATTATAAGCTGTTGTTACAAGTTGTTTGTATATTAAGGAAATTAGTCATTGGACAAATTTGTGGAAACACTTTTCCAGATTATTTTTTTTACTGTAGTATGGCTTTCTGTTTGATGGTTGTCAAACAAAAGTGTTTTGTTTTGTTTTGTTTTTAATGTGATCAGATTTACATTTTCTGATTGATTTCATGGTTTCCTTTGGTTCACATTTAAATTTTTTTCTACCTTGAACTTAATATAAAAATATTAACAGGGTCTGGCTTAATTTTTTTTCCACAGATGTTATGACAGATACCTTTTGGAATCTGTGGTTTGGGGTTGGGACAGTCTTTAGTTTCTTCATAAAAAGGATTTTCTTCTCCTCTAGGTCTTGTTATCCATTTTAGTGTGCTAATTCTGCTGTCATTCAAGAAGTCTCCTAGGTCTCTTAAGGACTCTGCACAGAACATAATTCAGAAAGAACTTCTTCACAGTTTTTGTTCTTGATATGTATTTTTTTTCCCCCCTGGCAGGTATCCCTTGTATAACTGATTGTGTAATGGCTGAAATTGAGAAATTGGGGCAGAAGTACCGAGTAGCTTTAAGGTAGGAAGGAGCTAGACTAGATTTGTTCTGGTCACATATACTGGAGATTCTTTTGATATTCTTTTATCTGTTTGCTGTCTAAAGATTTCTTGGTCAATTAGTTTAAGTAAAAATAATACAAAACTAACTGTGATTTAAGAAGCAAATATTTGAAGTTTAGAAACTTTTAAGCTAAAGCTCCTTGAACTAAGCTCCTTGAACTTAGCCATATTGGTCTTATGGTCCACCTTTTAAGTTCTTCTTAATTTTCAGTTAGAAGCTGTCTTTTTTTCCCCCCTGGATCAGAATCTCACTCTGTCACCCAGGCTAAAGTACAGTGGCATGCTCATGGTCACCACGGCCATGACCTGCTGGGCTCGGGCAATCCTTCCACCTCAGCCTTCCAAGTAACTGGAACCACAGGTGCGCACCACCATGCCTGGCTTTTTTTTTTTTAAATTGTAGGTATGAGGTCTAGCCAAGTTGCCCAGGCTGGTCTTGAACCCCCCCTGGGCTCAAGCAATCCTCTTGTCTCTGCCTCCCAAAGTGCTGGAATTATAGGCGTGAGCCTCTGCGCCTGGCCTAGAAGCTGACTTTCAATTCATTTATTATCTAGATATCTTAAAAATCTCACATTTAAAGGACTCACATTTAAAATTTCAAATCTACTCCAGAAAATACTCTTTTTTTTTTTGAGTTGGAGTCTCACTCTGTCGCCCAGACTGGAGTGCAGTGGCCG